AACATGACTAAAAGGCAAGTTTTCTTCACATTCACTGTAACACTGGCCATCTCTGTGCTTTGACTTGCTCTACACAAATATACATCACACAATTTCCATCACTTGCAAGAAACAAAAAAGGTGACAATTAGCTTTTCCTAATACCTACTTCCAGTTTATACTGTCGTTTAGTGATTTCTACGTTAACAATGAATCCTGCTGAACATATAAAACAAGCTCTTTCTTCACAATTTACCCTCAACACATATTTTCAAATCTAAAGAACAAGAAACATCCACCTGTCTTCTGCAGAGACCTTGCTGTTGATTATTGTTGGTGACTCTGTACCTTGCCCTTCTTTAGCCAACCATCAATTCTTCCTTTGGTTTTTGACCCTCCTTCTGATAATAAGTGTTACACAAAGATAACATAGTCCTACCACAGCAGGAAAAAACATCCAAAGAACTACAAGCACCAAACCACCAATCAAAAAAATAATCTTTTAAATAGCTGTTCACTGCTGTAAGTCAGCTTTCAGCCATGAAATTAAAACCTGGAGTGAATGTCACAGCATATTAAGAAGCAATTATATATTCTTTATATTGATGTCCTCTTCATACTCTGTCTACAAGAGTAAAAGAATCCTGAATTGCACATCTTCAAGCCAAAAAGGGTAGGTCCATTAGCAAGAACCTATTCCACATGAAAATGGATAGAAATATTTATTTTTCACAGAGTGTAAATATGTGATTGAAAGTAAGTCTCCTTTAAAGAGGAAAGCCTGGAAGTTTTTGGCTACATATATTTCTATCTGTCCCTTAACTGGAACACCTACTCTAGGAGAACATTGTGGGAAAGAGAAAAACAATGTTAAAGCCAGAGTTCCCTAAATTGACTCACGAAAACTTCACATTAATAAAAAACAAAGACTTTAATACAAAATCAATAGTCATCTCCCATTTTTACACTGTTTGTAAAAAACAACAAAAAAGAATTTGCATGTTATGCCTCAGATAGTGATTTCTGTCCAACATTCCTCACAACATTTGGTAAAGTCGACTACATAATAATCCTGTAACAGAAATGGATCCAGAAATATTTTTAAGGAATTATCACATTAATAGCTAACAATCAACTGAGTACCAAACTGGAAAAAAAAAAAAAAATCTGTATTTTCAATGACAGTATAAACATTACTTCCTGTGGATAACTTCTGACATAGGTGTAAGCAATTCTTTTACATCCCAACAACTTCTTTCTACTGGCCAATAAGTTTAAAAAGAACTTCAACTACAGCCCAGTTTGGATGGTTTTGCAGCCCCTCTCAGAGATCACTACATTCCAAAAAAGCCTCACCAAACAAACTAAAGGAAACTAAGCTTCACCATACTCCATCAAAAGTATTTCTCAGAAAGACTGAAAGCAAATTCCAACAACAGAAAACACATTTAAAGCCCCATCTACATGGAAAGCAAGAGTCCCATCTTGCATAACCACCTTTTCAAGACTACACTTGTATTTCGATCATGCCATCTCCTTTACTTTCCTTCTTCCTTTTCTCACAGCCACACGACCACTAAGTTTTACTACCAAATCCACCCAATCTCAGTCGCGAGATCTGCGCCAGGAATGACCATCCTTTGCAAAGCTCGAATGAATGAAAGCTTGAACAGCCCAGCACAAACGCCAGGGGAAGGATCCGCGGATTACAGGAGATTAGAGAGGTTGCAGAGGGGGGTATCTGACTCGCGGCGCACCCCGACCAAAAAGCAGCACTCGGTTCTCCGTGCCGGACCGACGGCCCGACTCGCAGCCGCGGGGTGTCGCCGCACCGCACCGGGACACCGACGGGCAGCTCAGGCACTGGAAGTGCAGGCCCCGCCGGCAGCCGGCCCGGCTCCGCAGGCCGCCGGCACCGGCCGGGCCGCGGGCGATGCGGACACTCCCGGCCGGGCGCATTCCGGCGAGCCCCGGGGCTCTGCAGAGCCTCCCGTAGCGCGCAGCACGGCGGGCCCGACGCGTCACCCGACCGGGAGCCACCGGGCCTCGGCGGAGGAGGAAGCTGCAGCGGCGGCACCGCCTCGGCTCCGGACCGCGGCCGGGCCGCCGGGCGCGGTGCCGGGCTCAGTGCCGCCCACCCGCTCGCTCGCCCCCAGCGGGCACCGCACGGCCCCGCCGGTGGGCCCGGCCACCTGGAGCCCCCTCGGGCCTCACTCACCACCGCTGCCGCCACTGCCGGGCCCACTTCCGGCTCCCGCCCCGCCGCTCCCCGCCTGCCGCTCCCCGCCTGCCGCTGCCACGTCCGCGCTCCGCCCGCCGGGGCCCGGATGCGGCGCAGGCGCTGGGAGGCCCCGGCCCCTGACGTCCTGGCTGGGCGGGCGGTGACTGCAGCTGCGGGGAGGGCCGCGGGGCCGCTTGTCGCGCGGCCCGAAGCAGCGCTGCCCGCACGGGCACTGAGGCGTGAGCGGGGCTCGGCCGAACGCTGCTGAGCCGCGGCCACCACTGACCACGGTGCCCTTGGCCGCCTGTCCCGCCAGAGGCCTGTGAAAGACCGCGACAGGGGAGCAACCAAGGCCAGTTCGGCACCAAGGTGCAGAGAGTTGTTCGCTCCCTGCCAACAGCAGCAGTGATCGTCCCTCCGTACTCGGCACTGCTGAGGCCACACCTCAAGTACTGCCTTCAGCAGGCCCTACTGGCCCCCTCACTTCAGAAGGGGCACTGAGGTGCTGGAGCGTGTCCAGAGCAGGGTAACAAGGCTCGTGAGAGGTGTAGAAAACTTGTCTTACAGGAATGGGTGAGGGACCTGGGGTTGTTTATTCTCGAGAAGAGGATGCTCGTAGGGGATCTCATCGCCCTCTACAACTATCTGAAAGAGATTGCTGTGAAGTGGGGACTGGTCTCTTCTGTGGCTACAGAGAGGACAAAAGGAAATGGTCTAAAGCTGAGACAGAGGAGAGTCAGATTAGATATTAAAAATATTTTCACTGTTAAGGTGGTCAGGCATTGGAATATGTTGCCCAGGAATTTGGTGAAGTCACCAACCCGGAGGTTGGTGTTTAAGAGGAGGTGTTTAAGCAGGAGGTGTTTAAGAGGCATCAGGATCTGGTACTGGGTGATATGATTTAGTGGTTTAGGGGTTACAGTGGTAATGCTGGGTAGATGGTTGGACTTGATGATCTCAAAGGTCTCTTCCAACCTTGATAATTCTGTGATCTTGTTGGTTTGTGCCCACCAGCAACATGCATTGGCACCGGATGAGTGGTGCTATAGTAGTAGCAATGAAGTAGTCAACCAAGCAGTGGCATCACAGCAAAAGTACATCCTCTGGATGTTATGGTCTAAGAATATTAGTCACTGAGAGCTAAGCACATGCAGAATAAGGAAGAGGTAAGGGTAAGCTTGTTCTCAGAACCTTAACAGAAAATGATGGTTTATGCCTTGTAGGAAAGGGGGAGGATTGACTTTAACTCTTGTATAACTCCCTGCCTTGGGATGGCTAGGAGGTCATGTCTGTCATGTTCCTAAAGAAAAACCACTGAAAGACTCTTCTCCACTCTAGTGAGACCCCATCTAGAGACCTGTGTCCGGCTCTGAGGTCCTCAGCATAGGAAAGACATAAACCCATTGGAGCAGGTCCAAAGGGAGGCTAAGAAAATTATCAGAGGGATGAAGGTGTCTCTTACTAATAAAGGCTGAGAGAGTTGAGGTTGTTCAGCCTGAAAGAACATTTTGAGGAGGCTTTATTGTGGTCTTTCAATACTTAAAGGAGGCTTTAAAAAAAAGCTGGAGACAGACTTTTTAGTAGGGCTTATAGTTACAAGACAAGGAGTAATGGTTTTAAATGAAAAGAGGGTAGATTTAGACTAGATATAAGGAAAAACCCCTCTGAGTTAGCTAGAGATTTTGAGATCTCTGCGACGTAACAGGCAGATCCTTGACTGGACTGGACCGAAGGACTTCGTCTCTAGATTTGGTAGCTATAGCCCCCTCTTTCTCTCTCTCTCTCTCTCTCTTTTCTCTCTCTTTCTCTATCTTTTTCTCTCCTTTAATCCCTCTATTGCATTTTGCTGTGATCATTCAATAAAGGTGCATTTGTTTTGGTTATTATTGCAAATCCCCTGTGCCGTGTTGGTTTTTTGCGCCTTGAGATCAAATCCACGAACCATCACGAAACCCGTTCGTAAAGACGGATCGTGACAGCTACCAGGCTGGTGAAGCACTGGAACAGGCTGCCCAGAGTGGTGGCAGTTGCCCCATCCCTGGAAACACTCAAGGTCACATTGGACAGGGCTCTGAGCAATCTGCTAGAGTTGAAAATGTCCCTGCTCATTGCAGGTAGATTGGGCTAGATGATCCTTAAAAGTTCCTTCCAACCCAAACTATTCTCTGATTCTATGACCTGGTTGAGCTCTCTTGGCCATTGAGTCTATATAAGCAGTGCCCTGCAGAGAACTGTGTGAATCCTGTGTGTGGAGCTAATCCCAGCTATTCTGGTCCCAGTATCTAGTATTACAAGTAGATGTAGGGGATGTCAGGGAGCTACACGCTGCAGAGGGAGCACAGCACATCTACAGTCTGCCTGTGGCTTTCAGGGCAGGCATAGTGCTGCTGTGTAAAGACACTAGCTGCATGGAGAAAATAGAAGTGGAGAGCACATTAATTGCAAGCTGGTTTTGTTCAATTCATAGGGTCAGGTGCTGTCACCTGATTTGTACAAGTTTGTGCCTGTGACATGTCATTGCCTGAAACTCAAACTAATGGATCTTGAGTACTGAGTGACTCTAAGACTTGCATTTGGAATGCAAAGTGGAAATAAAAAATTTACTGAAATGCTTCCAGCTTTAAGAGTGTCAGACAAAGCTCTGGAGAGACAGGAGGTGTGCTATTTTCAGCCACGTTCCGGTGAGAGATCCATCATGTATGCGGGGGGGCACAGAGGGTGAGATTGACATGACACGTGTGTGGGACAACTCTGGCCCCTTCCCAAGGGCAGAATCAAATGTCTAATCATAGGCAGAGCAGCAGCTGAGAGTCCAGAAGAGCAGTGAAGGCTGGGCTTGACAGTCTCAACTCTTGTGTGTGTGTGAACTTCAAGGAGAAAGTAAGCAGAGGCCTTGTGGGGACTAGAGAGTGGTGGTGTGAATTGTGGATATGGGAATAGAAGATTCTGCCTGTTAAGAACTGGAATCTGTACTGAAGTTGTGAAGACAAAATATCTAAAGCATAGAAATCATGGGAGCTGAAGAAGAAATGCTCATCACTCTGTCTGGAGGTGCCCCCTGGGGCTTCCGCCTGCAAGGGGGTTCAGAACAGAAAAGACCCCTTCAAGTGTCAAAGGTAGGTGTCACACCTTGAGGTGTGAACTGTGAGAGCAAAGTTGTTCTGCTGAACTAAGATATCCCTACTGAGTTGGGCATCTTTCACTACTGTTAAGGAATACAGGAACTCCTTACAGTGGCAGCAGATCTTAAAAGGAAAAATTGGGTGGTGTGCTCAAGCAGGGTGTGAGGTGGGCTGTGGGTCCTGGAATAGATGCTGTTGGGGTAGAGACAAGTGTCAGGTGAAGATCTGCTTCAGAGCAGGTCTGTACAGCTCAGACACTTGGTAGGCTGTACAACTCTCCTGAGTTGTCAGCAGAGCTATAACCATAGTGACAGTGCAGGGAAAAGGGTACTTCAGTACTCATGAAAGACATCCAACTAAAGAAAAAATAAATTGAAGCAGTTAAAGCCATATTTTTAATTCAATTGTCCCTAACACTTCATTACTATATTCCAGCTTTCAAAATAGATGTACATTTCTTAGTGCCTCTTCTGTTGGTGAAAGTTTTTCCACACTGTCTGAAGTGAATATTTGTGATGCTCTAGGCAGCAAATACAGGGGTAATTTCAAGAATTAAAGAAAAACAATTGTTTGAATGGGAGATTTAAAAAATTGAATAAACATGAACCTTGTGTTGCACTACTTTTGATAAACAGCTGTTACTGTTGTCTTTTCAGAAAGACTACTGAATAGATTGAAAACTAGAGGAAAAAAGGTCCTCTTTATTAAGCTCAAGACAGCTGCATTAGCCTTGACACAATGATATCTTGGGATATCTCACTGGAAGGCGCCCAGCAACAGAAATGAAAAAATTCTCTGCCCAGCTCCTTCTGTTTCCTTAAGCAGACCATGTCTCTGACAGAATTTTGAAATTAGATGTTCTGTGTCACTTGGCTCACCCCAGATCACGTAGTGTTTGTTTGCAACTTCTGCCAAATTGTTTGGAATCCCATAGCTTGGCCTTGAAGTGAATGTTTGTTATGTAGAGAAAGATGATTTTCTCCAGAAAAACAACTTCTGCACAAACTCATAGAGTTTCAGGTTAAAAAGAAAGAATCAATATCCTTTAAACAGCTGTCTTGCATCAGTGGTTCTTAGGAAAATGGAATTTTCAGGGGCTACATTAATTCTACATGGTCTAAGATTATTTTTACTGTTGTTTTCCCCTCAGTAGATAAGAAACTGGTACTGAAGAGGGAGGAGATTGTGAGTGTCTATAAGGATTACTCAGGATTGAACAGCAGCAAGAATTAGTCATTACCCAGGCTAAGTTGCACCTTGAGGTGAATGGAATATTGCTCAAGGATTAGTAGCACTTGCAGGAAGGTATTAACTAGAAGCTGCTTTTACCCAGAATTGGGTGCTGTACTTTAAGTCTAGCAATACAAATATATATAATTTTACAATAATTGGATATTGCATTAAAAATAATTATGAAAAATATAACTTACACAAATCCATTTGAGGCTCAAAGTAGACATCATTCTTTAGGCAGGATTTTCATTTTATAATTATCTTTTTTGTCTCTTATCATCCGGAATTTAATAGCATCTAATGACCCTACATAGTATTTTAAAGGCAACACCACTTAAACAGTCTCCAAAGAATGGATGGTCCTTACCAGGTACTCAGGAAGATCATATCTGAATGTAACCTGCTTAGAAGAGAGCAAACTGCCAGGTGTCATGTGATGGAAAGTACAGCCATGAATAGCTGATAGGTGCCAGGAGATAACTGAGTGGACACTGCTTGTGTCTCAGAGATTCCAGTGCTGTCATTTTAGAGAATTTCAACTTCTAGGCTAGAAAGTCATAGTAGTAACACTAAGGAAAGATCCTAACCTTTGGATGCTGAGTCAAATGATAAATAAGTGATAAAAAGTTAATTTGGTTAATTAATCAAGGATAACAAATACATTATATATAAATGATACATGTTGTACTTTGGCAGAGGTGCTGGATTTGCCAAGCCAGACTAAGTTAAGAGTCACCTCTTGTCCTGCTTGCTGCTTCCTTTGTGTTTCCTGCAAGTATTTCAGAGGAAGTTGTAAGTTTCACAATGCATCTAATTTTTGTGTAATGCAATGTGGAGGGAAATCCTTTCCCCTCAGGTAGTTATCAGCATGCCCCGGGTAGTATCTAAGAATTGGCAGTCCTAGTGGTTTACCCTACAGATAAACAGAAAATTGTTTCTGAACAACTAGTACCTTACCTGTCTAAATCTTATGTGATTTCCTAATGAAGATTTGATAACACAAAGCAACCAGGCATTCCAAAGACTAAAGGTTGCACTGAGTGGGATTTCCTGCTTGAGTCGCTCTTGCTGTATCACACAGCCCTTCACAATTCCTCATCTTACATGAGCTGTGTACACAGTTCATAGTCTTCTTGCCTTTATGCTTTCTAAAGTTTACATCACCATCACCTTTTTATTGTTTCTCTTTATGGATTTTAGGATAAAATTAACCACTGGTTGCTGTTCTTGGTATCTTTTTTTTTTTAATTCTTTGGGTGTGCTGCATGGTTCCTTTGTCCTCCCCTTCCCTTCCCTTCCCTTCCCTTCCCTTCCCTTCCCTTCCCTTCCCTTTCCTTTCCTTTCCTTCCCTTCCCATGGGGCCTCTAATTGGTTGTTCTCTCCTAAGGTGTTCACAAGGATGGCTTAAATTATTGGCTTTTTTCAAATTGCAATTAACTCAAAATGTACAGTGAATACATGCATTTGAAACTGTTTTCTAGTTCAAAGTATTCAACTGGCAGTAACAAAATAAAGTATATGAACATGGTGGACGTGGGGTGTGAACCCATTTTTCTACAGACTAAAAGGATTCATAGCTATAGTTTCAACTGTTTCTCCAAGCAAGGGATCAATTCTAAACCTCAGTCCAGCTGCCAGAAAGGGGTAGGAAAGCTGCTCTATCTTCGCATGCTGGATGCAGCTGCCACAGAGCTTCTGTGCCATTCAATAACTCTGTGGCTTATGGGTTCAGGGACACACCTGGAGAAAGAAGCTGGAATTACATCCTTGTGGACAGTCTCTTGGGCTGGATATAACTGGGCATGAGCCTGCAGCGTGCCCTGACAGCCCAAAGGCCAGCAGTATCCTGGGCTGCACCCACAGAGGAGTGGCCAGCAGGTGCAGGGAGGAGATTCTGCCCCTCTGCCCACTTGGAGCACTGCATAAATCTATGGGGTCCTCAGTGCAGGAAAGATCTTTGACCAGGAACAGTCTTTAGGAAAGAAAGAGAACAAACATTAACACAAGGAGCAAAAAGGATCCATAGATAGCAAGATTTTTATTTTAGAAAGGCTGAGGGAAAGTACATGGTCCTCACATGTAGCTGTAACTGATGAAAAAGTTAACCCATTCTGGAAAGAGAGTAAGAGAACAAAACTATCAGGTTCCTGGAGGATTTCTTTGCAGTAAGGATATGTGCATCAAATGCTTTCAAAACAAAACAAAACAAAATGTAAAATAGCTAGTCTGAGAAAAGTTGTAAGCACTAATGCTATTAATCAACCAAAGTAGAAACCTAACATGAAATTATATTATGGAAATAATTTTTATGAAGATGAACAGGACAGTTTTAGGATAGTGAAAGTACATGCAAACCTGCCTTTAAGGATCCTGCTACAAAACAAGACTTACTCAATGAGAGGCAAACATGGTTACTTTCTATAAAAAGCAAGGAAAGCACTTCTACCTCCAGCACAAGTACTAGTAATACTGACAAAATAGAGGAAACTGAGTCTTTACAGCTGGTACTGATAGTAGAGGCAAAGGACCTGGGCATATTAGTGCATCACCAATAATAAGCCAGCAAAATTATGAATCTCTGAAAAAAAGGCAAACATAAACAAATGAGCCTCAGGTTGACATGTCTAACAGAGATAGGACATGTCAGTGACAGTGTTGATATTACTGTCTAATGCACAAGGGGGAATTCACTGGAAATATCATACTTACAGAATCAGCCCCTCTCAAGGAAAATAAATGTAAGGTAGAGCAGCCATAGAAAAGGAGGAGAGAAGAGAAGGCTTCTTTCACCTAGCAAAATATTGAAAGAGGTGACTGCAATCTACAAGTAGATGTTGAGCAAATACCAGCAACACTATTCAAATATAGGTGACAGCATTGACAGCATAGAACAACTAACCAGGAAGGTTCAGCAATGAATTTCCAATCAAGAAAAAGAATTTAAAATCTTTTGAATCAGTTTATGAAGTAGAGTAAACAATATGGCCTCTGAAAACTACAGAGGATTGGCCCTGGCAGCTCGAGAGACTCCTTTCATTTGGCTGTTCTGTACAAATACTCTGCAGCACTTAGGGGAATTGTTAGGGGAAGCAGTAACACAGCATTGTATTGGTTCTAAAGCCAAAAGTTTTTTTTTTGTTTACGAGCAGTTCACGACCTCCTTTTTAGCTCTCAAATTCCCTCTTTTTCCTTTATGCTTCTCTGCTGATAATTTACTGTTTCTACTGTCTCCTCTGCAAGATATCCTTGCTGCCTGTTTGCCATGTCCCTGCTCCCTGTGCCACACAGCCTGGCTGCTGTGTGCCACTCTCCTGTGCTCATGTGACATGATTCCTGCTGGAGGTGCCAGCTCTAACCCAAATAGGCCTGATGGCGTCCAGATTTGTGAGCACCTTCTCTTCCTCTCCTCTTTGCAGTGGGCAGCCTGTACTTTATCTGTTTTCGCAAATGTTTACTGTCACATATAAAAAAGCACTGCTAGTCTGTAGCAGTCAGTAATGCTGGTTTTGGAGTGCCTCAAACTGCTTTGGGAGTGCTCCTGGACATATTTTATGGCCTGTTGGCACTTAGGCAGGTGCTATGTTTGGCTGCTAGTGAGGGAGGGCACACTGTGGCACCAGTGGAACTTTCCGAGGTTCTGGAAGAATCTCTTGATTCTTGAGAAGTTGCAGTGAAACCACACACGCTCCATCTGTACCTGGTGCATTAAATGTACCTGGGACCATTCTCTGGCACTTGTGCCAGCTGCTACAGACTGTAAT